AATTTGGTCTGCCAGTGCTGCTGGAAAACATTGGCGAGGAGTTGGATCCCGTCTTGGAGTCGGTTCTCCAAAAGACACTTTTTAAACAGGGCGGAGCCTTGTGCATTAAGTTGGGTGACTCTGTGATTGAGTATAATCATAGTTTTAGGTGGGTGCAAATTTACTTTCTCAACTGCATATAGAAAATGATCGTTATAATAATTTAATTTTATTATTACAGATTCTATATGACAACTAAACTCAGAAATCCACATTATCTGCCTGAGGTTGCTGTGAAGGTCACCCTGCTGAACTTTATGATCACCACTCAGGGATTGCAGGATCAATTGTTGGGCATAACGGTGGCCAGGGAACGTCCTGATTTGGAGGCGGAAAAGAACAATCTTATTGTCCAGGGAGCTGATAACAAACGGATGTTGAAGGAGACCGAAGATCAGATTTTGGAAGTGCTCTCATCAGCAGAAAATATTCTGGAGGACGAGACGGCCGTTCAGATTCTGAGCTCGGCCAAGGCTCTGGCCAATGATATTAGTGAGAAGCAGGTCATCACTGAGGCCACAGAAAAGCAGATAGATATAGCACGTTTGAGTTATGTGCCCATAGCCGAACACTCCACTATATTGTTCTTTACTATAGGTAAGGAAAACATTTCCCAAACATTTAATTCTAGTGACTTTTAAATATTACAAATATGGTTTTTCCATAGTTGAGTTGGCCAACATCGATCCCATGTACCAGTACAGTCTGGTTTGGTTCGTCAACCTGTACATGTCATCCATCGATAATACGGAAAAAGTGGACGACATAGCTGCACGTCTGCTGGATCTTCGAAATCACTTCACCTACAGCCTGTATGTAAACATCTGTCGCAGCCTCTTCGAGCGTGTGAGTGCCCATTGGATAAACCCAATTATCGTCAAACGCCGGTCCGTTTATCCATCCGCTGGCCAGTATCCTGGCCCTTTAGCCTCGTTAGTCCCGTAATTGCGCATAATCTGATAATGTGACATTTGAAGCGTGGTCCTTTGCGTTTCATTTGCTTTGTGGCTGAGCATCCTGCTCTGCTTGACTTAACTTGACTCGACTCCTTTTAAATAATATTTAGGCATTGCTGCTCCACAAGTACATTCTACTGTTAAGCCACTTCAACGGACAATGAAGTTGAAGCAGTTGCAGTAATTGAAAACTGAGTGGCTACTAGGGAAAGCAAAGACAAAATCGTTATTGAAAAATATTAAGATATTATTTTAATTTATTGGTTTTTTACGAATTTTTAATTAAGTTTTTGATGTATTTTACACGTTCTTGTCTTTGTTTCAAATGCAATCCAAAGTTCTATTCCCTTCTGACCATTATTTAGTTTCCGATTCGTTTATATCCACTGTGCAGCTGCTCGAATAATGTTATTACATTGCTGGTGCAATCAAAGGATGTACCTAGCCAAAGGAAGCTGGGGAAAAAAGGAAATAATAATCCAAACAAGTTCTAGCTAGCTTTATGCTGTTTTCAGTCAATTATGCCATGGCCTTTCCCTGACCTCCAGCCCTTGCTTTTGGCCCCCTGTGGTGACCCTTCCAAGAGCTAACCTTTGATCCCCAGCTTTTAATTTTCTTTTGCAAAAAAAACAAGGAAGAACGCTATAGTCGAGTACCTCGACTATCAGATACCCGTTACTCAGCTAAATGGAGATATGCAAGCAGCAAAGCGAGATTAAAATGCGCCACCTACCGGTGGTATACAGATTTAAGCGTTATGGGCGTTAGAGTGGGCGTGGAAAATTTTTTTTTGGATCAATCGATAGGTATCGACGAGACCAATACATTTCAGTTAAAATTTTTTATCTAGCATGAAAATTGTGGGCGTCACAGGTTTTTGCGGTTTGTGGGCGTTAAAGTGGGCGTGGCAAACTTTTTTTTGAGTCAATCGATAGGTAATGACGAGACAAATACATTTCAGTTAAAATTTTTTATCTAGCATAAAAATTGTGGGCGTCACAGGTTTTCGCGGTTTGTAAGCGTTAAAGTGGGCGTGGCAAACTTTTTTTTAGGTCAATCGATAGGTATTGATGAGAACATTACATTTCAGTTAAAATTTTTATTCTAGCATCAAAACTGTAGGAGCCACAGTTTTGGGCGGTTTGTGGGCGTTAGAGTGGGCGTGGCAGTCTACTGAAACAAACTTGCGCTGCGTAAGAAGCTCAGGAATCTGCACGCCAAATCTCAATAGCCTAGCTCTCATAGTTTCCGAGATCTCAGCGTTCATCCGGACAGACGGACAGACGGACAGACGGACATGGCTAGATCGACTCGGCTAGTGATCCTGATCAAGAATATATATACTTTATGGGGTCGGAAACGCTTCCTTCTGCCTGTTACATACTTTCCGACGAATCTAGTATACCCTTTTACTCTACGAGTAACGGGTATAAAAAACGTAGTGAATTGCTATCAGAGAAGCACCATCACCGCTTGGCCTCGGAAATGCTTTGATTTCGGTGGGCAACCTTTCGGTGTAACCCATTTAATGCGAGAGTGAGCCCTGACCCTGAAGGACCCCAATCACATCACATCACTTGTTATCCCTTACTCATTTGTACATACAGAGAAATCTACTAGAATTTCGCTATTATGTTGACTTTGCTGAATGCAAAAGTAAATAGGACCCGGAAAACTTTTAATTTGAACATTATTAATTAGAAAGACCGAATAGTTTAATGTAGAAATGAAGACTTCAAAACTCTAGTGTTATATACTTTTATTGATTTTATTTAATTTAATCCAAGTGTAATGTAATGTTCTGTTCTTTGAACAGGATAAGCTGCTGTTTTCGCTCATATTGAACATCAACATGATGAAGCACGACAATCGGATTGACAATGCCGAATGGATGTTTCTGCTGACTGGAGGCGTTGGTTTGGAGAATCCGTTCAAGAACCCCACCACCTGGCTGGGCGTCCAAAATTGGGATGAGCTCTGTCGCCTGACTAATTTAGCCAATTTCAAAGGTTTACGCGAGGACTTCACTGACAATGCGGCCCAATGGAAGCCATTTTTTGACTCGAAGACGCCGCAGGACAACAAGGATGTTCCAAAATCATGGGAGAAGCGAGTGAGCATGTTCCAGAAGCTCTTGCTTCTTCGCGTCTTTCGACCGGATAAATTGGTGCCGGCTGTGTTGAACTTTGTGAGCGCCGAACTGGGTGAACGATTTGTGGATCCGCCGCAGTTCGATTTGATGGCTTCGTTTGCGGACTCTCACTGCTGTGTGCCTTTGATATTTATCCTGACCCCCGGTTCGGATCCCACGGCCACACTTTTGAAGTTTGCCGAGGATCAGGGCTTTGGCACGAATAGATTGTTCTCGCTGTCCTTGGGTCAAGGTCAGGGTCCTATTGCCATGAAGATGATCGATGAAGGCGTCAAGATGGGTAATTGGGTGGTGCTCCAGAATTGCCATTTGGCAGCTAGTTTCATGCCCTTGCTGGAGAAGATCTGTGAGAATCTCTTGCCAGATGCGACGCATCCGGACTTCAGGCTGTGGCTCACCTCCTATCCGGCGGACCATTTTCCGGTTGTGGTCTTGCAGAATGGCATTAAGATGACCAATGAACCGCCAAAGGGGTTGCGTTCTAATATTCTCCGCTCCATGCTAAGTGATCCGATCAGTGATCCGGAGTGGTACGAGTCCTGCACTCAGCCCAGGATCTTCAAGCAGCTGATCTACTCGCTGTGCTTCTTTCATGCGGTTATCCAGGAGAGAAGATACTTTGGACCAATCGGATGGAACATCCCCTACGAATTCAACGAAACCGATCTTAGGATATCGCTGATGCAGCTGAGGATGTTCCTCAATCAATATGAGACTGTTAACTACGATGCCTTGCGATATTTGACGGGCGAGTGCAATTATGGAGGACGTGTTACGGATGACTGGGATCGCCGCACATTGAAAACCATTCTAGATAAGTATTATTGTCCAGCAGTTATAGATTTGGAGAAGCCGTACTACCTGGATGAGACGGGTCTATACTATGTGCCGGTCTTCAAGGAGGTGGATTTGTATCTTAACTTTACGAAAGACCTGCCCCAAATCTCTTCGCCGGCTATCTTTGGATTCCATGCCAACGCGGATATCATGAAGGACCAAAAGGAAACGGACATGTTACTATCGCACACTCTGCTCACGCAGGTGAGTGAACCCTTGGTTGTAAAGTACAATTTTATAAGTGGTAAAAGCTTTTTATTCGATATTGTTATTGCTAAATTGTTAAATATTTTTGCTTTCATTGCTTGCTTTGCCAAAAAAGGAACGTTGGGTAAGAGTTTTAGAATAGTTTTTATACGCCTACATTTAATAATTGCTACGGTTTTATTGTCACACTCCATATAGGATCTCTATGATCGACGTGTAAGTGGTTTCGTAATCGTTGTTGACGCTTAACTCTCCATACAGCTATTTAATGAGTTCTTGTTTTACACGCTGCGCTTTAGAAATTGGAGAAAAAACAAAGAGTCTATGTAGAAACGCTTAGCAGACGCTTTCCCGAAAACCTTTCCCTACCCACTTATCCTACCTGTCCTCCCTTCCTTGCCCTTCATCATTTGCCCCTAAAGGACACTAGTGCCTCATCGGATGACAGTGGTGGCTCTAAGGCGCTGACGCCCGAGGAGGTCGTAACCAATGTGGCCACCGATATCCTGGACAAGTTGCCAAAACTATTTGATCGGGATGCGGCTTTGCTCAAGTATCCTACACTTTATCACCAAAGCATGAATACGGTGCTGGTTCAGGAGATGGTGCGCTTTAACGTCCTACTGAACACGATTCGAACCAGCCTTATCACGCTGCGAAAGGGAATCAAGGGTAAGTGTGATTCCATTTTAGTTACAGCTGTAATAACATAAGAAAAAAAAAGTGGAATCTAATGTTATAGTAATACAGGAATCATAATTAATTTAACATTATTACATCATATAGTTTTATTCTTGATGGTGGTGTAATTTAATTTTAGCCATATGTAATGCTTATTAATTATGTATTATTTGTATTATTCGGGATCTAACAACATCCTACTTGGGTCTGCTGTCATATTATCATTGACGGGCAAATGGTCATCACTTGTTTCAATGGGAATCACTGCTTGAAGGGGATTGAAGTGAGAGCCCAAGGAGCCTCGATGCCTTCTTTCCTCGATTTGGTCCTCTTCTTCATTTCCCTGTACTTGTGTTTTGGGCTGATCCTTTTTAATAGGTACTGCTTTTCCCTTGACTTTAGTTGAATCAGTTATTAATAAAGCCGTCGTTGGGGTCAAATTTTTTAACCCCGAAGACCGAACGGGTGGAATAAAGGAATCTGATTCTTCGACCATGACAGGCTTATTTCCTTCAGGTGGTACTAATTCCTTGGCAGTTGCTTTTATATCCTTGGAACCTGAGGAAATGGGTGTAAGCTCCTTGGGTATTGGGTCAACGACGGACTTAATTTCTTTGGGAGTTGAGTCAATAGTTTCGCGATTTCCTTCAGGTGGTACTAATTCCTTGTCAGCTATTTTTATATCGTTTGAACCTGAGGAAATGGGTGTAAGCTCCTTGGGTATTGGGTCAACATCGGATTTAATTTCTTTGGGAGTTTCGAGATTCAATTCTAATGGAGTAATTTCCAAAGGTAATGGTTCCTCTTCTGCGATTTGCTCTTCCTTATTACCAAGGAATATAGGTGGGTGATAAGCTTCCGGGCTTATTTCCTTTGCAGGGATTATTGGCACTTGCATTTCATGAAATGAGACTTTCGGCGAATCAATATGTTCCTCTTTTTCCATTTTATTCCTGACTTCATGTTCCTCAATGTCTTTGATGGGCTCTAATATTCTTTCTTCTTCGCTCTCTTTTACAAGAATGTTTTCTATATTTTTTTCTACCTCACTGGGTAGCATTACCCTGTAGCCCCTGCCTATAAGGGATGCTAAATTTGAAACTTGCGAAAGATCCAAAGTGCTTCTAAGACTGAACACTGCACTTGGTTCCTTTGTTAGGTTGCTAACGGGAGTAATAATTTGAGAGTTTATAAACTGGTCGCTACCAGATGGAGGATCATCCGCAAAGGGCTTATCGACGTTTACTAATGCTCCTGTGATGTTGTCGTCCTTGAATCTTTTAATTAGGGCCAACGTCTGTTGTCCCATAAAGTCAGATCCTTTTAGTGAGATATTTCCCATATTAATATTTTCTTTTTCGCGAATATTGTCCGTGCTACGAATGTCACCCTGAGAAGGAGTCAACCGAAGATCGATTAAATCGGAGGATTCAACAGGGGGAGGATTTTCCATGTTCTGCAATATCTGTACAAATAAGTCGTGAAAGAGATCGTTATAGTTTTCGGTTACGATGCGTTCATTTTCTTCAAGCCAACGTCTTCCGGGAACTGCCCGTCGAATGAGCTTTCTAATTATGGCATTGGCCTCACGCCAGGAGGCCCTCTGAGGGATTTCACTTTCGCTATCCGTGGACATGAGATATAAATCGTTGTCGATAAGACGATCAATAAGATCGCTTGTTAATGTGGTGGCTATGTCAAATGGATCTAGTTCAGTCCACACTCTTTGAAAAATCACATCCTCCACCACGTATTGCACAATCAGGGCGTTCTCATAGCGCTGGAGCACTTGATCCATATCGGGGGAGACTAAATCGTTCAGCATCAGACGTAGGGGAACATAAGTGAGGGGGTTCTGAATCTGCTTGAAGCTCTCTAGCCATCGCTCTATATCAGTATCGATTTTTTGCGCCAATTCACTTACTGTCTCTGCAGCTGAGCTGTCGGCCACATTGTACATATCTGAGCTCAAAATCTGTGCGAAATATTTGTTGGAGATTTCGTTGTTGACCACATTGCAGTTCTGGAACAACTCCTCGTACATCAGCCTCATATCGTTCTCCTTCTGTCTCAATCCAGCTTCGGCTGCCTCGCGACGCCATCGCTCCTTCTGGGCCATAATCGCGAAAAAGTGAAGTCTACGTAGTTCCGAGAGGCGAGCCATCTCCTCCGATAGGAACTGCATCACCCATCCCACGTAGGTGCCCTCGTATATGTTTAACAAGTTCTCCATGCCCTCTCTCTTTCTATCGTTCTTCAAGCTTGTCATTATAATTTCTGAATTTTGATTCGCCTCAGTTTCAAGAAAACCTGCATACTTGCTAATTGATATTCCTTTTTCAGAACTCTCTTTAGAGGAATCGGACTGAACATCGTAGAGGTCGGTTAAATAGGCAAGGGTCATTTGGGAAGCCACTCTACCTAATTCCCTTCTTCGACGCTTTTTGAGACATTTAGGTTCCTCTTTCTCCCTGTCGGCCTGAGTTCTAAGGGCCTTCAAGCATTCGAAGAGCTTTTGCAGATTGTCCTCTTTGCAGAAATTCCGCTCATACTCTTGGTCATACTTTTTGGGCTTAGACCAATCTTTGAGCTTTCTAAACGGACATTTTAATTGGTTCATATTGACTTTCTTCTCCAGTTCGTCGATCCTCATGTCGAAAGCATTGCGTCCGGTTTTTGAGACATAGTTTCTATGTGCCGGATCCACGCCGTATCTTAAAAGCGGAGCATAGAATTCAGAGCACGGAGATCCCAGAGAATGCATAGGCTTCTGCTTTTCCCATCTTCGCGGAGTCTTCGTGACTTGGATCTCCAGGCGACGCATTCCCCGCTGAAACTCGATCTCGTTCTTTCGCAAACCAGCTAGGCGTCGCTCCTCGATTCGTTCGCAGGCTTTTTCAATACGTGACTTTGAGGCGGCGTGCATTTCCTTCTCCCTCTTGTCAAACATCTTGATTACGATCTGGAGACGCATCATCTGGCACTCCTGGATGTCCTCCTCCCGCTGGATCCACTGCTCCCACTCGAAGGCTTCCAAAATCTCTTTGAACTCAGTTTTTATAGCCACTTTCCTGGCCTCACAAAGGAGTCTTTGAAAGTGTACCTTCAGCGCATCGCTAAAGGCCCATCTCTTCCTGGCACGCTCCAGGACCTCGACCTCATGCAGCCCTGGTTTATTTGATCCTGGCAATACAGATGGCAGGGAAAACAGTTCCAATTTTTTGAAGTTCCTTGTTTCTAAAACTTCCGGCAAATAACTAATAGTCTGCGCAGAGGATTCCCTAAGAATAAAGTATGCAATTAAAAAAATTTAGATCTCTTTAAAGTCCCTTGCAATTTACCTGTAAAGTGTCTGGGTAATTTTATTCTTGAAGGGTCGCGTGTCCTCAGGCTTGGAAAAGAAATTGCATTTGTGCTTTAATTCTTTCTTCATGACCACGCGAGGACTCATCTTAACCTCATGGCTGTTTATAGACGTGTCTCTTTCCGTAAGGAAACGGAATCCCGGGGCCTTGAACTGACACTCGCTGTCAGTGCGAGGTAATTTTCCAGCATTACGAGGGGCTGGATCATTAGCACCTATAGAACTTGAAAATCAGTTTGTTTAAAAGTCATAAAAATTGATTTTCAAAATCTTTATACCTCCACCGATCCGTAAATCGGGTGAGCTGGCGATCAAACAAGATGTTAGACCATTTGCAGTTTGCTTTTCAATTTTCTTAGCGACTTTTTCTCTTCTGATATTATCCTGATGGCGTCTGAGCGATTTTACAGAAGTTGGTAAACTTACAGCTTTGTCTGATATGGGCTCCGGAAGAACCCTAAACTTAACCTGCTTTTCTAGTCGCGAATTGTGTATTGGCATTATGAAAAAAAGTGTTTTATTTTTTTTTTCGTTTTATTAGTGTTATGTTGGTGTGTTTTGTTGGGTATTGTGTCAGCAAATGAGTTTCATATTTAATTAATTTTGATTGGCATTTTTAGCGGGCTACTGAGTTTAATATTATATCCATGTTACATAAAAGGCATACTTTTAAAAGTGTAGTACCTATTTTAAGTACCTAGTTATGACTTCTGTTGAACTTAATTAATATTACCTTTTTTTTACCGGCAGGTTTGGTTGTAATGTCTGCCGCAGTGGAAGCTGTTTACAAGTCGGTCTTGATTGCCAAGATTCCAGCCATGTGGGCTGGAAAATCTTATCCAAGTCTGAAGCCCCTGGGCAGTTATGTAAACGATTTTCTACGACGCCTTGAGTTCCTGCAGGTGAGTAAAAAGTAACTCAACATTTGAGTGCTTGTAAGAAACGTTTTTATCTCTATTATAGCACTGGTTCGATCATGGAGCCCCTTCAACTTTCTGGCTTTCCGGATTTTTCTTTACGCAAGCTTTCCTAACAGGTGCCCAGCAGAACTATGCTAGAAAATATGTAATATCCATAGATTTGCTGGCCTTTGACTATGAGGTTCTATCGCTGGAGGAGACACAAATTAAGGGTTTAGCCGGCCCAGAAGATGGTGTCTTTGTGTATGGCATTTTCCTAGAGGGTGCTCGTTGGGATCGCACGGGAAAGTATCTGGCCGAATCTCGTCCAAGGGAACTGTTCGATACGATGCCGCTGATTTGGTTGAAGCCCATCAAGCGCGTTGATCTGCCCGAGCGTCACAATTATCTGTGTCCAATGTACAAGACGGCCGAAAGACGAGGAGTATTGTCCACGACAGGTCATAGTACCAACTTTGTGGTGGCCATGTTGCTACTCTGCAATCCAAATACCCCAGTCTCCCATTGGATTATTCGTGGCACAGCTTTGCTGTGTCAGCTGAGTTTCTAAAAATTGCATATTTATTCGGTTAAGCTATATTTTGTAAGGTTCGGTTGAGGCTAAAATAAAAGAAAAGTCTGAGGATTAATTATCAAAGTATTATTGCATTACTTAAATTTAATAAAAAACAAGGAAGAACGCTATAGTCGAGTATCTCGACTATCAGATACCCGTTACTCAGCTAATGGGACAAAAGCGAGACTGAAATGCGCCACCTACCACTGATCACAATATATGGTTATGTGGGCGGTAGACAGATTTAACCGTTATAGGCGTTAGAGTGGGCGTGGCATACTTTTTTTTGGGTATTGACGAGACTAATACATTTCAGTTAAAATTTTTTATTTAGCATGAAAATTGTTTGTGGGCGTTAGAGTGGGCGTGGCATATTCGCGTAACAAACTTGCGCTGCGCTCAGGGCTACGGAATCTAAATCTGAGATCCCAATGTTCCAGGTGTATTAAAAATGAGTGCGTCCAGAATGTGTCTAGTTTGTTACATCCTACATTCCTAGGTGCATCTGGGTGCATTCCAGGTACATCTGGGTGCATTCCAAAGTAAAATAATTTTTTTTACATTTTCGCAATTTTTTTAATGGGGTTTTCGCATTTTTCAGGGGTGCATTCCTATGTGCATCTGGGTGCATTCCTAGGTATATCTGGGTGCATTCCTAGGTAAATTAATTTTGTTTAAATTTTCGCATTTTTTTCATGGTGTTTTCGCAATTTTAAGGGTTGCATTTCTAGGTACATCTGGGTGCATTCCTAGGTACGTCTGGGTGCATTCCTAAGTACATCTGGGTGCATTCCTTGGTACATCTGGACGCATTCTTAGGTAAATTTCCTTTTTCTAAATTTTCGCATGGGGTTTTTCATGGGGTTTGCGCATTTTTAAAGGGTGCAACCCTAGGTGCATCTGGGTGCATTCCTAGGTACACCTGGGTGCATTCCTAGGTAAATTAATTTTTTTTTAATTTTCGCATTTTTAAGGGGTGCATTCCTAGGTGCATCTGGGTTCATTTCTAGGTACATCTGGGTGCATTCCTAGGTAAATTAATTTTTTTTAAATTTTCGCATTTTTTCATGGGGTTTTCGCATGTTTAAGGGGTGCATTCCTAGGTGCATCTGGGTGCATTCCTAGGTACATATGGGTGCATTCCTAGGTAAATTAGTTTTTTTAAATTTTCTCATTTTTTCATGGGGTTTTCGCATTTTTAAGGGGTGCATTCCAAGGTGCATCTGGGTGCATTCCTAGGTAAATTAATTTTTTTTAAATGCGAAAATTTAAAAAAAAATAATATACCTAGGAATGCACCCAGATGTACCTAGGAATGCACCCAGATGCACCTCGGAATGCACCCCCTAAAAATGCGAAAACCCCATGAAAAAAATGCGAAAATTAAAAAAAAATAATATACCTAGGAATGCACCCAGATGTACCTAGGAATGCACCCCTTAAAAATGCGAAAACCTCATGAAAAAATGCGAAAATTAAAAAAAAAATTAATATACTTAGGAATGCACCCAGATGTACCTAGGAATGCACCCAGATGCACCTAGGAATACATCTGGGTGCATTCCTTAAGAAACATATATCTGAATTTCGAAATAAGTTTTTATTCCTGTTTCCGCTTTTTAAATCGATGCTGGGCAACAGCTTAATTAAAAATGTGGACCAGATAATAAGCCGAGAAGTAATAACCCAAATAAACTACAGTGGCTCTAGGCATAAATATGGATTGGCAAATTTTCATATTTTTGAATTCGGCCTTACAAGGTACGTCACACTGTAATTTTCAAAAATTAGTTAACATTTTTTTGATTCAAAAACTTTAGGACTTTTTCCGTGCGCATGTTAAATTAAGAAAATTTTAAATAAATGTGTCTAGTTTGTTGCATTTCTAGGTACGTCTGGGTGCATTCCTAGGTACATCTGGGTGCATTCCTAGGTACGTCTGGGTGCATTCCTAGGTACATCTGTATGCATTCCTTGGTACCAGGTGCATTAAAAAAGAGTGAGTCCAGAATCAGTCTTGATCATGCTTTTTTATCTAGCATGAAAATTGTGGGCGCCACAGATTTGGGCGGTTTGTGGGCGTGGCATATTCGCGTAACAAACTTGCGCTGCGCTCAAGGCTGCGGAATCTAAATCTGAGATCCCAATCATCTATCTTTGATACTTTCTGAGATATCCGAGTTCATACTTAAGATTTTTTTAAATTTCTGGGCGGTTTGTGGACGTTAAAGTGGGCGTGGCAAACTTTTTTTAGGTCAATCGATAGGTATTGATGAGAAAACAAAAATTTGTACACTAGCGTCAAAACTGTAGGAGCCACAGTTTTGGGCGGTTTCTGGGCGTTAAAGTGGGCGTGGCACGCTGCTGAAACAAACTTGCGCTGCGTAAGAAGTTCTGGAATCTGCATGCCAAATCTCAATAGCTAAGCTCTTATAGTTTTTGAGACCTCAGCGTTCATCCGGACGGACAGACAGACGGACAGACGGACATGACTAGATCGACTCGCCTAGTGATCCCGATCAAGAATATATATACTTTATGGGGTCGGAAACGCTTCCTTCTGCCTGTTAAATACTTCCCGACGAATCTAGTATACCCTTTTACTCTACGAGTAACGGGTATAAATATAGGGTATAAATATAGCATCCAGTAATCCATATTTAAAACAGATACAATTTCCTCTAGATAGTTTACACTTATTTATTCGTATTGCTTTTCAAATATAAATTTCACAAATGTCTGCGTATGAAAGTAACGAAAGGTACCGTTACCCAAGAATTGAAAATCCGGAATTTCAGAAATTATCTAAATTTGAAGACTTGTGAATCTTTGGGGATATAAACAACAATCTCTTCACCCATATCGGTATGCTCATCCTCAAATTCACCATCGTAATCGGTTGCTGAGTCGTCAATTCTATTTAGAGACTTATCTGATGAATATTCTAGTTCGACATCTTCAGGTTCGATTTCTTGTTCGATTTCTTCATGATGATCTAATTCTGGTTCCATAATGCTAAATTTACTTCTTTCGTCACTACTATCAGATGCATTTTTTTCTTCCATTAAATCATGATCATGCACCAACGAAGAACCCCTCAGGTCATTTAGATGATCCTCGTACTCGGCAAGATCCAAAGTACTTTTGATGCTTAACAATTCAGGGTCTTTCCCTGGAGTCGCAGTACCTAATACATCTGATTTTTGAAGTACTTCACTTTTTATATAGTTGTCAAATAACTCAGCATCATTTTCACTTATCGGATATTTCTCTTCGGCCTTCAGTTCTCTGGTAATCTTGTCTTCTTTAAATTTTTTTATTAGAGATAGAAATTGCATTCGTAATAGATTTGTGTTTTGCAACGGTTCTGATTGAGATGACTCCTCCGTCGAAGGAATCCGTTTGGGGATCTCATGAGCAAAGAAAGCATACGATTTACTTGCACAAAGTGGGAGAAGGTCGGCAGGCAATACGGCTGTCGGATTTTCTATGCCAAATAGGATTTCGGAAAACACATCGTCGAACAGACTATTAAATGCTTCGTGGACAATCCGCTCGTTTTCCTCCTTCCAGCGTCTTCCGGGAACCGCTTGGCGAATGAGTTTTCTTATTATGGCATGGGACTCTTTCCAGGATTCCTTATGAGGGCTATCGCTTTCGCTGTCCGATGAGAACAAAAACAGATCGTTGTCAATGAGGCGATCAATAAGATCGCTGGTCAGAGTGCTGGCTACATCGAATGGCTCTAGTTCCTGCCACACCTTGCCAAAGATCACATCTTCCACTATGTACTGGGCAATCATGGAAGTCTCATAGCGCCGGAGCACAGCTCCCATATCCGGGCAGACCATGTCCTGCAGCATCAGTCGAAGTGGTGTGAAATTGAGTGGGTTCTGGATTAACTTGAAAGTCTCCAGCCATCGCTCTATGTCCAAGTCGATTTGCTTTGCTAACTCGGTAACAGATTCGATGGCCTCATCATCTGTTATATGTCCTATATCGGTGGTCAATATGGTGTCTGCATATTTCTTAGCTACTTCACTGTGAACCGCACTGGTATGTTGGAACATCTCCTCGTAAAGCATCCTCATTGTGTTCTCCTTCTGCCTCAATCCCGCCTCGGCTGCTTCACGCCGCCAGCGTTCCTTTTGGGCCAAGATGCAGAAGAAGTGCAGCTTGCGCTGTTCCTTCAATCGTTGCATTTCGTCGGCAAGGAACTGCATGATCGTCCCAATATAACTGCCTTCGTATGAGCATATCAGAGTCTCTAAATCTTCGCGCCCTATCTCAGAGCTCTTCAGTGGCTTCTCGGCTTTTGGTAGGGTGACCTTAGTGCTTGTCTTAATGGTATCGCGGTTCGAGACGGGGTATTCCACAAATCTTGATTTCCTAGCCTGATAATAGGGACGGAAGGAATCGCTTGAGCTAGTACTAGGCGTACGACGCTCTATACGCAATCGTGTTTTCAGACAATGAGGCGGTTCCTTTGCCATGTCCGCCTGCGTTCTTAGTGTCTTCAGGGATTCGTAGAGCCTCTGTAGATTGCCATCATTGCAGAAGTTTCGCTCGTATTCCCTATCATACTCCTTGGGCTTGGACCACTCCTTAAGCTTGCTAAAGGGACACTGGACATTACGCATATTGACCCGCTTCTCCAGATCATCGATCCTCATGTCGAATGCCTTGCGTCCAGTGGTGGATTCAAAGCATCGTCGGGCCGGATCAACACCATGTCTTATCAGGGGGCCATAGAACTCGGAGCACGGGGATCCTAGGGCTTGCATGGGACTCTGCTTTTCCCACTTTCGAGCGGTCTTGGCCAACTGTATGTTGATGCGGCGCATTCCCCGCTGGAACTCAACTTCATTCTTGCGCAAACCCGCCTGGCGACGTTTCTCGATGCGTTCAAAGGATTGCTCGATACGGGCCTTAGATGCGGTGTGCATTTCCTTCTCCCTCTTGTCAAACATCTTGATCACAATCTGAAGGCGCATCATCTGACACTCCTGTATGTCCTCCTCCCGCTGAACCCACTGCTCCCACTCGAAGGCTTCCAAAATCTCTTTGTACTGCGTTTTTATCGACACTTTTCTGGCCTCACGCAGAAGTCTTTTAAAGTTCTCCTTTAGAGCCATACTAAAATCCCATCGCTTGCGAGCCCGCTCCAAAAATTCAACTTCATGCAACCCTGGTGGCTTATCACCCGGCAGCAACTTCGCCAAAGTAAACAGTTCGAAAGCTTCTGATTTTTCTTGGTTTAGAATCTCGGGTAGAAAGGCCAAGGTCTGCGCCGAAGACTCCCTAGGAAATGGGACTTATAATATTTTATTCAATCTTATGGATATTATCTTACCTATAGAGGGTTTGTGTGGCCTCATCCTTGAAAGGTCGATTGTCCACATACTTCGGAAAGAAGTCACATTTGTTTTTCAACTCCTTTCTTAAGGGCTTCGAGTTCAGCTTGACTTCTTGAGTGGCATAGTCTGAGTGTACTGTTTGCAGAAAGAATATACCTGGTTCCTTGAATTGGCATTCGCTGTCGGTTCGAGGTAACCGTCCAACATTGCGAGCTGCTGGGTTGTTGGCACCTACAAATATAGACGAAAAAAGGATTTTCGGGTTTATAAAGGGGGTTAGTTAGGTTAGACCCACCTGCCGCTAATCGGGAATCTGAGTTCTTCGAGCATGTCGACTTATAATGGCATTTGTTGTCTGCTTGATAGGGTTTTTCCACAGCACTGTCGCCTGGATCGTTGGCACCTGGTAATTAGGAAAATAGAGTTTTTGAAAATATAACACCACTTGATTCTAATCGACACACCGCTCTTTAATCTGGTATGCGAGGGTTTTGTGATTAGGCATGACGTTAGGCCCTGTCCAAAGTTCTTCTCAACTTCCCTGCCTCTAGGCGAATCTCCAAAGCTTCTCTGCTGTTTGCCATGGGTAAATGTGACGCGTTTCTTCTGCCGCCCAGCGTCCTCTTTTATTGGTGAAGCTGATTGAAGTACCGCCGCCGTGTTTATAGGCCTAAGCTCTCGGTTTTCCCGGATAAACTGCAGGATCCGTTCCTTCCGCAAACGTTTCTCCTTTGCGGAGGGCATTTCCAACTATTGGTGAGTGGAAATCCGCTTCAGTCTATAATTTAAGTGTTCCTAGGTGTTTTTGTTTGAATTGTGTTTTTTGCACGCTTACAATTTACGCTTTCAGTTGTTACATAAGTAGCTTACTGGGTTAACTTCTCAACTCGCTGCCGTTCAGCTCAAGTTGTTGTGGGTTGTGCGAACCATTGGGTTAGTCAGTCAATCAGAAGTAATTACAATTCGCCAAGCAACCGTCTGGCTGCTAGGGAGCCGAGCCACTTTGTTTGTTGGCCAATCGATAGGAGCCAAGCACAAAAAAAACAGTTGCAAAAGCCAGTCTCACGAAACCATTCTTAACGTCTGACTTTTTTGTACGCTTTTTGATAGTCTTATAGCTAGGCTTTTGACGTCGATTGGCAACTCAAAAAAGGCTGCTTACTTCCAGGGTTTTTTTTTTATTAAATGTAAACTAACCGCTGGGAACATTAAGATGGAGTGTGTCTACTAACAAATACCTTTTACACATAAAAATGTGCTGGGTATGAATTAGGTGCCCTTACCTTTGTTAATATAAGGGAAACGATTTTTTTAAAAACCGTGTAGCAATAATATTTATTAAAAATATACATACAGAAGATTGTTAAAATACAAGTTTAAGATAACACAACCCTGACTCTTTTTCTATTCCCTTTTTTTAAATTATGGATTCCATGTGATTGCCGATGTAAAATGGATGTTTTCATCGACAGTAATATCTGATAGGCTTCGAGTCGGACAATCTGGAAGCCAAGGCCAAGGATCATCATTATCGGCGTCGGGTGTCGCAGTTGCAGTTTCCAGAAAATTCACATCTAATGAAGCTGGTGGAGATCCCTTGTATGTTTCATCTGGGTCGAGCTTGTTTTTGGAAGATCGATTTTTCTTCTTTACTAGGTTTAAAACTTGTTTCTTAATTATCCGCTTATCACAGACACTCATATCAGATTGATATCCCATTAGTTGGGCGGAATAATTATTATTAATTCGAATGTCCTTTGTGCTTAAAAGGTTTTGCTTTGAAAGTGTTGAATGTACTATGACAGGATCGTTGGGTGTGAGATCTTCAATTTTGTGAACAATTTCGTTAAAAACATTGTCCAACAGATCATTGTAGTTCTCGTAAACGATACGTTCGGCCTCCTCTTTCCAACGATTGCCGGGAACCGATTGTCGAATAAGTTTACGTATTATGGCATGAGCCTCGTACCAGGAAGCTTTCTGGTTTGCTTCACTTTCACTCTCAGAGGAGAATAAATACAGATCGTTGTCGATGAGGCGATCAATTAGATCGCTAGTTAGGGTGCTTGATATATCATAGGGTTCTAGTTCCTGCCACATTCTGGCTAAAATCACATCTTCCACTATGTACTGGGCAATCATGGTCTTCTCGTATCGCTGCAGTGCAGCATTTAGATCCGGACAGACCATATCGTGCAGCATCAGGCGCAGAGGAATATAGTTGAGTGGATTTTGTATTAGCTTAAAACTCTCCAGCCATCTTGCTATGTCCACATCAATTTGCTTGGCCATTTCCGTGACTGTCTCAGCAGCTTCATTAGCAGCCATATGGCCCAAGTCGATGGTCAGAATACTGTGCACATAGTGATCACTGACATCCAAATGGTGGATATTGGATTGGTGGAACATCTCCTCGTAGAGGCTCCTCATCGTGTTCTCCTTCTGCCTCAATCCCGCCTCGGTTGCCTCGCGATTCCAGCGTGCCTTTTCGGCCAAAACCGAGAAGAAGTGCAGTCGACGTTGCTCCTTCAAACGAGCCATTTCATCGGTGAGGAATTGCATCACATGACCGATTAAGCTGCCCTCATACGCCATCATCATATTCTTGAGGTCCCTTTTATTTTCGTCTCTTCTCAGTTTTTGAGCATATTCGGTGGAAATCTGGTCTTTTTGCCATTTAACATGCTGTTCAAAAGCCTTTTTTTGCGAGGGTCTATAAGTTTCGGGTGCAACTTCCTCATTCTTCGCATAGAGGCTGGAGAAACTCTTAATTGTTGCCAGAGTCATCCTGCCGTATCTGCCAGTTGTATATGGTGGTATATGGCGTACTTTGAGACATTCAGGTTTTGGCCTGTTATCATCGCTGGTCCTCAACGTCTTTAGAGATTGGTAAAGGCTTTGCAGATGCTCCTCCTTGCAGAAACGATGCTCAATTTCTTGAAGCCGTTGCTTGGGTTGAGACCATTGCTTCAGTTTGGCAAAGGGGCACTCGACTATTTTGAGATTTATTTGTCTCTCCAGTTCGTCGATTCTTAGGTTGAAAGCACGGGTGGCAGTGGTGGAAGAGAAATTGCGACGAGCTGGATCCACCCCGTATCTCAATTGTGGGGCGTAGAATTCGGAGCAGGGTGATCCCAGGGAGTACATGGGTGTCTGCTTCTCCCATCTTATCGAGGTCTTGGCCAGTTCTTTGCTTATTCTTCGCATACCACGCTGGTACTCGATTTCATTCTTATGCAATGCCGCCTTACGACGCTTCTCGATCAGTTCGCATCCTCTTTCCAATCGCGTCTTGGAGGCGGCATGCATTTCCCTCTCCCTCTTGTCGAACATCTTGATCACAATCTCAAGCCGCATCACCTGGCACTCCTGGATCTGTTCCTCCCGCTCCAACCAATGCTCCCATTCAAAGGCCTCCATCACGGATTTTAACTGATTTATGGCCAGTTGTCGATCATTTAGCCGTTGTCTGTTAAATTTTATCTTTAGTGACTCCAAGAATTTTTGACGCCTACGGGAGCGCTCCAAAACTTCCACCTCATATAGTCCTGGTGGCTTATCGCCTGAAAGAATTGAGGGCAGAGTGAAAAGCTCCAGGGTACGTGCTTCATCATGGTCGTAGATCTCTGGCAAATAGGGTAAAGTCTGCGCCGAAGACTCCCTAGGGTTAAGGGTTTGTAATATCTTTACACAGGTTCATGGAATTACCTTACCTGTATAGCGTCTGAGTGCATTTGTCTTTGAAGGGTGACGGGTCTACATATTTTGGAAAATAGTCACACTTATTCTTCAGCTCCTTTTGAATGGGCTTCGTGGAGCTTAAAAACACTTCTTGACTGCCTACATTTTCATTTCGTCCTCTTAGAAAAAATATACCCGGTGCATTGAACTGGCATTCTTCATCGTCACGGGGTTGTTTTCCTGTTCTTCGTACGACGGGATTATTCTCTCCTAGGGAAAAAAGAGTTATCGGATTTAAAACAAGGATTAGATTATAATATATTTTTACTAACCAGCTGCCAACCGCGTATCAATTGTGGGTGGTTTTATTAAACATGATGGAAGATCCTTCTTTGTATACCTCTTCACATTTTGAGGTAGTTTCTTTTGGCTTGTAGATGTTTTTTTCTTTGGACCAACAATAGGCTGAGACTCTCGGTTTTCTTGAAGAAATTTCAGTATTCGTTCCCTGCGTTCCTCCTGTAAGCTCACTTTTTTCCGTTCCTTGCGTTCTCGCATTTTAAAAGAGCATATCTAGTAAAAGTGTGTCTTTTAAAACTGATTTACCATTTAAGATGTATGTATATGGCCTACTGCTAGATCTCTGTTTAAAATAAACATGGTAAGGCTGCGTTTATTAATTTTTTAATTTTTTTTGCTATTTATAATTTTAGATTTGATAAATGTTCCGTTTTTCATTAATAAAATCTGCCCCTAATGGGATTAGGTCATCAATATCAATTTGAGTCATTCAAATGGTCAACATTTTTCCCCCAATCTGAGAAAGTTGCGGCAATACTGAGATGTATACAAATGACCTCAAATGGGTTGCTTTCCCTAAGACCAACCCACCACCTCGACAGGACGTTAATCATTTATTATCCGACATGTCTGTGATTATTTAGCTTTTTGTCTTGGCCCACCCATATTTCATTTTCTCAACAGGCTTTAAATTTTATAAGTCATTGAAGATGTTTCTTGGATCCCATGATTTTCCTCCGGCGAGAGTGCAACTAATTTTGTGTAATAATTTATGAGCCAAGTTTCCTCGGGGGGGCCTGGGTAGAAGGAAATGCTTTCCGATAAGAAGTGCTTTTGACGATTAAGCGCAACACTCGTGCAAGTTGTGGAGCGTAAATTGTTGTTTTTCAGTCCCTGCCCGAGGGTTTTAAGCATTGAGGGTTCTTTTGTGGGCAATTTAAGGCTATTCTTGGCCGTCGAAAGTTTTCCTGAAAAGCGAGATGTGAATTTCTGGGGAAAGCTGAAAACTTGACCCATTTTGACAGCTTCACAGATTGCCAACTTTTAATTGGCATCAATTTTTATCAACTCCGGAACCACTGCTCAACGGTGCAATTGAGGACTCATGTTCGTGCTTAGCAGGCACATTAATTATCGCTTGAAAGCCTCATCCCCGTTCAATTTCATCTACCCGCCTGCACTTTGCCATTAATTACCTTTGCTAAGCATTTTGCCATTTATCAGACTAGAGACTCCATCCCGGTTTTGGGTTCTTGGTAAAGGGTATTTCGGGGTTCTTTGTTGCTGCGTGAACCCATCAGAAATAATGATGCTAATTAGACAACAGCACTTTCGACGAACATTTAAACCGATTAGTGCGAACCCTACAATCCGCCCAAGGCAATTTCTACGAAATTAGTAAAATCCACTCCGTTGTTCTATTTACAATTTTGGCTCGTTAATGGCATGGCTAGAAAACCTAATCTTAGGAAGTCAAAACTTTTCAAACGAACAGAATACTGGGAGAAGATGTTTTATACTTCAACTTTAAGTATAATATATACATATATATTTATTACAGAAAAGATTGTCTTAAAATGAATACAAATTTTCTGTAGTGCCAAAGTTTTTCTTTAATTTGTGGAATATATGTTCTTAGGTTAGGTTCTTGTATTGGTAAATAGTTTACTACGATATTGTAATGTATATAAATAAAAAAACCAAAAATATATAATAGTTTATAATATAGTATATTAAGTATTCTGGAAAAATGTTCCAATATGTTATATAATTCATAAAATATATACAACCTATTTTTTACGTTTGTTTTACATACCAACCAGTTAGCAGGCAGTACCTGAAAAAGTGTGTATGTAAATATGTTTTTTTTTACTGCGCATTTACAACCGCAGTTTGTAGTAAAACTGTGGCGTTTTTCTTTCTTTTTCATTCTCACAAGCCAATAAAAGGTATACACACATTCAAACACATATATCTACCATAACGACATGTTTGACGTCACGTTTATTTTCGTTGTCGCTATCGCTGTTGTTCGCCGAACTATGTGTATACCACACAAATTGTTGAATTTACCAGCGCAACCGGCGAACCGGTTAGTCGTTGTTCGGTGATTGTGGAAGCAGCATGTTTGACGTCGAACTGAAAGAATTACTAGAAAGTTGGGGCTTTGGCCACTGGTTTCAGTACTTTACTGGTAAGAAACTATAACTAATTTGTGTAATACTTTTTTTGTCAGTGATTTTTAAAAGATAATTGGTAAGGTTCGTCCAGGTTTGTATAAGAAATTGTAGTCACGCAAATGTATGTATGTTTGTATAACTGTAAACACAGTACGTTTACACATACCTACTTACCTACAGTGTGACCATTTTTAGTTGAACAATAAATAACTTTTTTAATTATTTAGCGTGTTTGTATTTAATTATTTAATAATTTTAAGAACTAGAGCAGTTTAGTTTTACAAATAGTTTATACATTAAATTAATTAAATTAATTAATTTATTTAAAAATAATCAATAATATAATTAGTTTGATATCATTTTGAAGAAGTTTTTCAAAAAACATTTTTATAATTATATTTATATTGTAATTAAATTTAATTTTATAATTATATTTATATTGTAATCATTTTTTATCTTGTATAGATGAAGAAATTACCGTAAAAAGGCTTAATTATATAACGGAAGACGACCTAACATATATATTCCGCAATTCGAAATTAGGTGAAAAAATTGAATTTCGATACCATCTGGCGGAGTGGAAAAAGAAATTTGTAAGATCTTTATTCAAAAATTTGTATATGTAGTTAATATTTTTCCTTCGTAATTTAGGGTTTTGAAAAACTTGTAATTACAACACCATATGTGGCGGCAGATTTAGATGCCGAGGATTTCGGCCAGGCACAGTCGAGCACATCCTCTTCTATTTCAAAAATTGTGTGGCAGAGCAATAAAGTTGTTATGGTAAGTTCGTATATATTTAAGAGGTAAAGAAATAACTATTCCTATTTTAGGACCTTGATTTGATTCTGAATGAGCACCCTACTGGACACTATGTCAAACGAGCAGTCAGCGATGGAAATCCTGTTAACGATGCGACTAGAAAAATAATAATTGAAGCAATTGTTAATTTTATCATAAAACACAAAGTAAAACCAACCAGATCGGACTTTGAAAAAATTTCTAGCGAAATAGAAGAAAAGTTCAATGATGACAAGGTAAAAATATTGGTGCCTTATTATTACAATATATAAAATTCCCTGGTTTTCAGAAAATCTACTATAATAATGTTGGAACTCGGGCAGCAGGAAGGCTTTATGACAAATACCATAACACAGTAAAAAAGTTGAAAAAATGTGGAGAATTATTTGATTTATCTACGAATAAAAAAGATAGCCATAATGTGACATTTATCAATGAAGAAGGTTGGCTATAAATAATATTCATGGTATATAAATTTATAATATTTTTCCTTTACAGCTTCCGATGCTCGTGAATGGCTAAAAGTTAATAGCGAGCCTTGGTCTGAAGTCTTCGAAATGTGGCGTAAGACTTACACATTGAGAAGAGATGATATTCTTAACGCCAATGGACAAGAAACTGCAATTTGTCACGTTTTAAACCAGTGGCCGCAGTTTTCTAACTTCTTGGGATATGGCTTGGTAAGACTATTCATATAAAAATTGTTCATAATTTATTAATTCTTCATAATTTGTTCAGGTGGATATGGACTTTAAAGCTTTATATCCGGAATCTACTTCTTTAATCTTTAAATGGCAGTCGTTTAAGGAGAAAATCCTTCCCATATTGAACACCAAATTAACGGATTCCGTGGATATAAATTACTTGGAACAAATTAATGCGCAGGCTGAAGGTTTGTAAATTGTTATGTTTTAAATTCAACAATATAACTTATTTTGTTTAAAGGTTCCGATCAACTTCTTGCGCTTTTACTGCATGTCTTGCTGCGTTCACTGGGAAAACGCAAGGCTAGGGACAAAGTTTTCACAAAATCAATTAAGGACTCGCAACTTTCATTTATGATTCAAGGTGTGAGATACAGCGATGTGGAAAATGAAATTCAGCTGTTACGAACCACTCTTTATAACCGTGGAGAGAGTATGCATCCCATTATAGTTGCTGTGGGCTTGGATTTGAGCTGTTCTAAGGTGTACATGCTGTACAATGATATAAAATACGCACTACCGAGTTTCCTCAGTGTATTCGATATATGCTTTAAAATGTTTCACGTCTTACATCTAAAGTATCCATCTGATAGCTCTGAGTTTTGGTTGTTCGTACAAAAATATTTCTATGAAATTAATTTAGACGATGACATGGTGTCTCCCAGTATTTTATGTTTGATAAGTGATTTAAGGTAACAACACAAATCGTGATCTAAAGGGACATGTGTTCCAAAAAAAAATTTGAAATTATATTAAATAATAATCTCAACGATGGAACTGCTATGAAATATTGTTTAATTATCTTTGCGAAATAAAGTAACTATTTTTAAAAAATTATAAAGGAATTTTCATTATTTTTCGGGTATTCAGAAATGAACGGGCCACTAACATCTACAAGCACAAACATTTTCTGCTATAATCGTACACAATTTTTTTATATGATCCTATTCGACGAATTTATTTTTAAATTTCCCAACCGTACTTTTTTCCAGTTTATAAAAATCTCAAATTTGTAATCTCCCATTTTTCTTTTGCTTCCGGAACGGGGGTGCTCTTCTATTTTCATTTTCTAAATAATGCGTATTTATGAGTAAACAATGAAATTATATTTACTTTTGCTCTGTCAATATTTGCATGCAATTAATTTTCCCATCCTCGGTGGGAGTAGCAGCCAGCATAAACCATGACGAGCAGTGAAAAATCAAAACCAAACGAAGCATGGAGCGAGGGCAAAGTGCCGTAACGTGTGCAGAGAGCAGCATTTTCCCGGGAAAACCCAGAACTCATACCCCCAATCCATATACCCAAGCACCCACACCATCATCCACGCCCACGATGTCCTAGCTCCCGGGTCTGCCGCAATTTACTTTAAAAGTATTGCTAACGAAGGAATCGAAGATGAGTGGCTTGCCATCGATTTTTGTTCTTGTTGTGTCTGTTATTTTCGTATCTGACGCTGATGATGGGCGATGATAACGAGATGCTCGGCTGAAGTTTGCCAACTTTGCGGCACCGCTTCCTTTTGGCGCATCCTTTGTGGCCAGGACTCTATGGCAAGTCGCCGGAAAGTTCGGGCTAATGCCAGCCACATTTTGCCTTCCCTTAAAAAACTTCGTTTGCATGCTTTCGACTTTTTTAATTAAATCTTCGGGCAGAAGACAAATAGAATTGGCCAAAGTGCGGCTGTGTATTGGGAACATTTTAGGCAGCAAACAGAAACCACCACCAGCCGCAAAAGCCTCGAGATCCCCTTCCAAAAAATGAAGCCATTAAACTATATCCAACTCGTTTCGTTTAATGGCTAGGCCGCTTAAATTTTCAGGCCTCGTCGAGAAATACCAACAACAGGGAAAAGGGGATCTCAGGAATCGCTTGGCTTCACTTTATGTTATCAAAAATATTTTCAGGCACTTAAATTAATTTATAGCTCAACGAACTCCCCTAAAAAAGCTAAATATTATTCTGCTTTTGGGTCCTTATCAGTGGCGCAACAAAGGGAGCTTAAAATCTAATCAAATTTACGGTGAAATTTTCGATCCCAGCAGCGAATTATTATATGTTTATTAAAGCTCAACAGCACATTGGTTGGAATTCTGTGAACCTTTATTATTTTCTTTTTAATTTGAACATTTCGCAATGCTACATCCGCCCATCCTAAAACTTGTTTTGACTACACCCCTGTTTTTTCCTAAATTATGTGCAAAAAATTCTAAATCAATATTTATTGTAATGTCCATTCCTTGTGTATGCTCTAAGCTTAATGGGTATTTTGATTTTACTTTAAGATTAAAAAATGTAATATATATATTAATCTCAAGACTTTGGGACTTAAGAATGTTTATTATAAGAATATAAACTCTAATTATTCTCAAGAACTCGCGACTTTACATTGTTAATTATAAGAATATAAATTCTATATACATAACAATTTAAAAATCCATTTTAAAAGGACAAAAAATGTTCCTATGATATGTTGGGATCTTAATAGCGATACCTAAGAGAAATTAAAAAAATATTAAGAAACGGTGGTCAGATTTTTAATAATTCTAGCTTGCTATTTTGTTATTTTTAAGGGTAAAGAAACTTCGACCAATCTCTGTCAAGCTTTCAGATATTCCCTTATGTTGTGGTTTTTGGGGTGTATTTGGCTTTTGTGCTGTTTTGCCCTTCGCGCTTGTGTCGTAAAATTTATGACACGGAATGTTTTGGCATTACTTTCGGACGGTTTATCTGCGGCCATGTTGCTCTCGGAAAGGTAGGCGTCTCGTTAGGCGTGGCATGTGGTTTTGCCAGCCCTTTCCTTGCTTTTTATTC